ATGTGGTGCTGGGGGATTGAACCGCGGTCCCTGTGCTTTGCTAAGCTTGTTCTAAGTAGGTGCTTTAGACCACTGAGCCATCTCACCAGCCCCTTTCCCATGCTTTTTAAAAACATTTCTAATGTTCTTAACCATTTTCTAAACTTGTAAACCTATGTAATTTTAACATATGTACACTCTACAGTACAGTATATATTGATTAGTTAAAATACATACTGTAAACAGTGTATTTTATTTTGATTTAGCATTCTTTTGATGTTAGAATTAACATTTTAAGTATATGTTTATATATTTTAATTTTTTAGACAAAAATCATTAAAACCATAAATACTATGCATATAAATACATATAGTACTGTACACTACTGTAAAATCCTACGATAGTGAAAAATCTGTAATAAATAATTTAGATTAATATTTTTGAAAACCCATGAAACAACAAGTCCCTGAAAGTCAAAGTGTGAAACAGCAAGGAACTACTGTGTGTGTGTGTGTGTGTGTGTGTGTGTGTGTGTATTTGGGGGGTGAGGGTGGGAACTGAACTCAGGACCTCCCGCTAGCCAGACAGGTGCTGTGCCACTGGGCTAAATTCCCAGCCCGTTTCATATATATTTTGAGTGGCAAAGCAAATGTATTCTCACCGTGAAATGGGACTCTCCGCCTTAGGCAACAGCTAGTACCGCAGCTACCATCACAGAGGAAGCAACTCGCTCTACAGCAAAGCCGAGGTAACCAAGAGATCTAGCAACCACCTGTCACTGCTGACCTAGGTAAAAGAGCCCTGTGAAGACGTCTCAAAGCGGTCCAACATATTATTAGAGGCCCAAGTAAATCAATTCATTTTACTGTCTTTTCTCTTACAGTAGTAAATATGGGAGACCTGCTGTTTCCACAGTACGCTGACATTACTGCCAGAATCAAATGCATTTTCGACATTAAACATTCAATCAAAATCATTAAATGACTGCAAATGTAAGTTGCATTCCTTAGATCTTTTCTATTATCTACACACCAAATAGAACTTTTAAAAAGGTATTTTTCAAAGGTAATATGGGCCTAAGATCAAGTTTAAAGGATATCAGGAAAAAATAGTATGAACCAAGTCATAAACATCCAGAACGTGGAACTTAACAGGAAGACCGTGGGTAAGTAGACGAGGTTCTTATATCCGACCAAGAACCTAAAAAGAAAAAGGATGAGCACAAGGTATTAGTGAAATAAGGTATTAGCAAGACTCATGTTAATTTCAGTTCAAAGTCCCCCTAAATAATGACAGTGGTAGTAGTAGTAGTAATAATAATACGCTGGGGGAAAGCTCGGTGGTCTAAGCGCTTGCCTGGCAAGTGCAAAGACCTGAGTTCAATCCCTGGTACCGCATGCCTGCTGCCAGATTGAAACCAGGGAACCCAGGCGTGGTGGCACACACCAGGAATCCCAGCGCTAGGGAGGCTGAGACAGCAGGATCATTACAAGTCTGAGCTGCACAGCAAGATCCTGTACCAAATAAATAAAAAGAAATAAAAACTTCAAAAAAAAAAATTAAGTACAGCTACAGCAACCGCTTCTGCTTCCCAAACGCTCATGCGCCACTGTCATCACCCCACATTTTTCATATGAGGAGACAAAGAACGGAGCCCAAGAACTTGCATTCTTCATTCACAGTAAGCTAATGTGTATTTTCAGTGAATCTTCTCTACTGAGACAGACTGCCCTGTAGCTTTTTTGCACAGTGCATGTTAAAATAGTCTGAAATACAAAAATGTAAATCCTTGGATAAGCACAGGGTGCTCATCAAGCTTTTTCCAGAGGTTCATTGTGTGTTTATGAAACAGGGAGACGCATGTAGCTTTAAGCACTTTTATCCTGCAACAAGCCCAAGAAGCAGTCAATGTAAGAAAAGGCAAACAGTGAAACTAGTTTCACCACACTAAGGATGACCTCACTTGGGCTATAAGCAACTCAAAACATTTTAAGACTGTAATTACAGGGGCCGGGGAAATAGCTCAGTAGAATAAGCGCTTGCCTGGCAAGCGCAAGGGCCTGAGTTCAATCCCTGGTTCCGAAAAAAAAAAAAAAAAAAAAGGCCTGTAATTAGAAAGAAAAAAACCAAAAATTATCACACCAAATATGCACTACAATCACTTTATGCTGAATAGCTTACCTGTACCGATCTTTAAATTTATACCAGAAAGCACGATGCTTGGTAGTAGGTAGGAAGGGTCTACGAAAAGCTATCAGCTCACAACCATGAGTACAAAATCACACTTGGGGAGAACTAGAGTCTAAGCCGAGGTGTACAAGCCCAGGTACTCACGCACCACCAGAACAGGCCTAACAGAGCCTGTGCCAACTCCTGGGGTGCGGCCTAAGGCTCTGTGGAAAAAACCACACTTATCCATGGCCAGCAGTGCAGGGAGCACCTGGTTTGCAAGCTACTGCTTCTACCTGGTGACCTCTGGCAGGCATGGTGTACACAGCAGGCTGGAGCAGCAAGCAGCTGCCCAAGGGTACTCCATGAAGCTGGGAAATCAGGGAATCTGGATAACCCAGACTATGTGGGTAAAAACGGAGGAATGACCAATGCACTGAACTCCCGCTGGAATCGTGTCCATGCCAAGCATGCCACAAGGATTGCAGCTCACGGTCTTAAAAATAAATAAATCAGGGGCCGGGGAGATGGCTCAGTAGGATAAGCGCTTGACTGGCAAACACAAGGATCTGAGTTCAATCCCCGGTTCCGCAATAAATAAATAAATAAATAGCTAGCTAGCTAGCTAGCTAGCTTGGGTTTGAACTAAAATAACCAAACAAAATCTCAAGGGTTCCTATCCTACTTGAGTAGGTATGGCCAACCCTGCTGTCTCTGAGAAGAAAAGTAATTCTTGGTGATTTGGCTTAATACTTATACAGAAACCAAGCCAATTCAATTAGTTGGAAATGAGTTTTATTACTGTTTTGAGACAGAGAGGGGCTCACCAAGTTCCAAGCTGATCTCAACGTTACTATGGACACCAGGCTGACCCTAAGCTTGATCCTACGCCTCAGACTCTGAAGCACTTGGATTATGAGCACGCATACTTGGCTCAAAATGAGTATTTTAAAGTTACACGTGTTCCGAGTAGCAGATAACTCTACTTACACTATTTTCAGAAACACAAGCTTCTACTTTACATTCAAAGATGAACTTGGTTTCACCCAACTATCCTGGTCTTAGGGGGCCTAATAATCAGATTCCTGCGATACTTCGTTTCCCCTTATGAGAAAAGTGAACATGCATATTCCAGAAAAGGCTAACAGGCAAAACGACTTTGGATACTTAGAATACTCAGCAGCACTCCCTCTAGGGGGCAACGCTACTTCCTCAGACTCTTTTCTTTTTAAATGTATTTAGTACAAGGTCTACGGGTCTCACTCCATAGATCTGGCCGGCCCTTCTCAGACTCTTCTAAGGGTCCTCATCATGACATGTCGGGACGCATTTCACAGCACAGCAAGCCTCTGGCTTTTCTGGGCCTCCCACTGCAGGCAAGTGACTACTGCACAGATAACAAAGCAGGTGACACAGGGTCGGCCTCCTAGGGAGGCGCGACCTGAGCTGAGGCCAAGCAGTGTCTCCAGCTGAGCAGACACTGTCAGGACACTTGGAGGGGGGGACATTCGCAGGGGCCCAGGCGCCGGGTGGGCACGAGCTTGACGTATTCTAGGAACAGAAGGCAGGCAAGGGCCGCGTGGGGGCCAGGGAGGGGACGAAGTCAGGAAGCAGGGTGGAGACGAGTGACAAGAACACCTAGCAGGCAAGGGCCTGCCTGGGTTTTAGTCCGAGTACAGGGCAGGCTCCCGAGGGGCTCAGGCAGGGAGAAGCCTTGAGGGCTGCCTGGGGAGGCAAACAGGAGGACAGATGGCTGGAGAGCGGCTTGGAGACTGGGGGTGCGGGGCCCTGTTGAGGAGATGGAAAGATGTGGACCAACCGCGGCAGGAGAGGAAGGACTGTAACGGGTCAGGAGCGGGAAGAATCAAGGGTGCCCCTCGCTCATGTGAGGAACCGGGTGCCCTGCACTGACCTAGACAAGGAAGGGGTTTGGGGTGTGGTACAGCTACTGTGCATCAGCCCTCGTCCTAAGCATTTATATGTATTAACCATAAGGCAGGAACTATCCCGATAACTACCTTTATTTTACAGATGAGGAAACTGAGGCAGAGAAGGAAAGTTGCTTGCTCAGGATCAGGCTGCCATGTGATCGAAGCCAGGCAATCCGGCTCCCAGCTATTAACTACACATAACCATGGTGAGTTATTTTCCTAAAATTAGGGCTATATCATATTTACTATTTTATAGCCTCCCCCATTCTTTTTTTTCTTGGTGCTGGGAATCCAACCCAAGGCCACGCTTGCCAGGCAGGCACTGTGCTGCCGAGCTACATCCCCAGCCTTGCCTTCTCCATTTTAATTAAAAACCACTGAGAACAGCAAGGCACAGTGGTGAACACCTGTAATACCTGTACTCTGGGAGGCTGAGACACAAGAATCCCAAGATGAAGCGCAGCCTGGGCAACAGTGAATCCTGTCTCAAAATAAAAAAATTATAAGGGCTGGGCATGTGGTGGGTGTGAAGTCCCTAAGTTCCATCTCCAGTACTGGGGCAAAAATCATGAAAAACTAACTAGCTCAAACTGAATTTAGGTCTTAAAAAGGAGAAACAAAAACTTTCAGGAAAAAAAAAAGGCAAAATGTATCATTAAGATGCAAAATGGTTATAAAAATCTCATTATTCAAGGAACCTTACAATTCAGTTGCCCAGGATACTGATTGTCTACCAGTTGTCAACTCAAGCAGATTACTGGGTGGAACAATCTGCCTCCCCCTTCCCCGATTCCCCTGGATGTTGTTTTATGGTGAGTATTTACAGTTCTATAAAAGTCTGTGATTCCAGCTAATCAGCAGCAGAAATACACAATTACATTGGAAATGCAATAATGCCCCTTGCAAAGCTCACATACATACCTTGGAAACAAAGACGTCAGGAAAAACAATGTCACTAGAAGACATCCTTTTAAAAGCCAAGAGTCCGAATTGAAGTCCAGTATGTATCCAGCAGCCCACATGGTAATCACAGAGAGTATCAGCAGCAGGCAGAACTATTAAGAGAGATTTGGAACTTTAGAATTGTACAAGTCTTCACCTAAGCATGTGATGATAATTAGCAGAGTTTAAGAACTTAAAAAGAAAAAACAAAAAAGTCTGCTTCTTCATTATATAATAATAAATACAACAGCATAATTAAGTTTTTTTCAAAGCTGCAGATTGTTAAAGTTGAAATCTGTGCAATTCACATGTTTTAAGAACAATATCTTAAAAACTACATTTCAAAAATGTTGTTCAAACATTGCATTTGCCTTTTTTTCTTCTAAGAAACTGTGGTCTTTTGTAGAGTTAATAAAAAATAAAATTTAAAAAATTATTTGTTTCAGATGATATTCTATATTAGAAAGCATAAAGCAAGCTAAAGGGACTATGCAAAACTCAATACACCCAAGACCACACGCAGGGAATAAAAGCTGCAACGTGGGTACCAGATGGTAGCACCCCCAGTAAAGAAGGTTAGAAGGGAAAAGAAACACATGAGCTCAGTTTGGGATGTGTAGAGTTTTTAACCTCAGGACACCCAGGAGATATCCAGGAGACAGCTGAGAAAGCAGGCCCGCTATCAGCGAAGAGTTCAACAGTGTGTTGGGAGTGAAGGCACAAGGAGGCAACATCCCACAGATGTGCACCGCAGCAGGGGTAGGGTCTCAGCCAACACAACTTTTCAGGGGCAGGAATACAGTTGGGGGTCCAGAGGTGGCAGAAAGAAACGTGGGAAGAGAACCTATGGGGAGACAGGTTTCAAGCAGGGAGTGGGCTCAGGGGCCAAAGACCCCATGGAAGTCCCATTCTTGGGATTCTAATCAGTCATGTCTCTTTTGATGAAATTAAAAGAATGGAGGTTCTCTGAACAAAGTGTCTGCATGGAGATTACGCTCCACACGTGTGCAGTGCAGTCTCTTAACCCTAAGATACGAGGCCTTGAAACAAGCAGGACTCTTCAACAGCAAAGAGGAAACACATGTGATGAGCCCTGAATTCTTCCACTTCTGTTTCTCTAAGGCATATCTGGGAATGGAAAAGTATAAATGATACCAATCCTTATTTGTTTAGTTGACAAAATTAAACTCAGCCTTTTATTAAAAAGTCAACTCAAGACTATAAACATAATCTCAGAACTGAAATAAGGATTAAGTAAGGATCTCAAAATTCTAAGTTGCAGGCATAACACTCTTCTAGATGAGTCACATTACTTACTCCTTCAATAGATATTCTATGGAAGGCACTACATTCAATGCTTGGGACAGACTGAGGAATTCAAGCTTTTTCTTTCATTGAGCTTAAATTCTAACTGGGAAGATAGACGCATTAAGTGACTTGGATAGCACAGTATATAAAAAACTGAACCACACAGAGCCTTGAAGACCATTGTAAGGACTCTGCTTTCACTCAGGGAAAAATGGAGGCATCATTGGAGCTTGAGCAGATGAGTGGCAATAGCCAACTTCCGTTTTCAAAGAAAATGGACCGACAGACAGAGCACTGCTGGAAGGGAGAGAAGGCTGAGATTCTGGATATAAACCAAGGGCAGAACTAGGCTACGTGTCGCTAGTGAGCTTGCCGCAGGTGTGGTGTGACAGAGAAAAGTCAAAGATGACTGGAAAGGTAGACACGCTCCCTGCGGAGAAGTGGAAGGCGCAGGCAGCGAGGGAAGGAAGCCAGGGGATGGGTTCGGTTTTGGATGCACCGTGTGAGAGATGCCTCCCGGACGCTGAAAGGGGTGAGTACAGCTGGTGACGGCATTACTAGTCTGGAAAAGTCTGGACTGCACAGATATGTTTGGGAATTATCACTTGATAGATGCCATGTGGGGAGTGAAGGAAGTCCCAGGACAAAATCCTGGGACACTGTAACAGTAAGAAGAGGATAAAAAGTAGAAAAGGTAGCAAAGGAGAATGAGGAGTGGCCTTCTTTTTCTCTTCTTTCATAAACCTAAATATAAAACAGGTCTAGCATTCACAGTGACCCTCTACTTAGAAAACTATCTGTTCATTTAGTCATTCTGAAAGTATAATCAGTAAGATGCTATATTCAAAAACAGCAGAGGGGCTGGTGAGATGGCTCAGTGGTCTAAAGCACCTACTTAGAACAAGCTTAGCAAAGCACAGGGACCACGGTTCAATCCCCCAGCACCACATGCCAGCCAGCCCCACCCCCTGGTGGGCTGAGCTGGCCACACACACACACACACACATAAAAAAAATTAAAAAAAAAAAAACAGCAAAAACAACAGAATCAATCCAAGATAATCTGAATTATAGTCACTACTGTAACTGAAATTTTTCTATTATTCAGTTCATTTTAGTCTAAAACACTCTTCAAAGGAATGCTAAGTTTAAAAAATGAATAAAATTTGGATTAATTTCTCAAAATTCCAGATGTTTTATTTTATGAAGTGGTATCATAAGCCTGAAGTTCCAACATCACTGCTTAAAAATCTAACTTTTTATGATTCTAAGAAAACATGTTGACTGTTACTATTTTCCTTTTGAGAAAAAAATTTATTAAGGAAAGACTCAAAAGAGGCTTCCATAAAATATCTTGCAACACGGTGTTTTTCATTTTGCTTCTCTAAGAATGAAAATCATCTGCATTTCAATTCATTAAACAACTGTGGAAATACACTATAAGGTTCACAAACTAACAGTTTTACAGCCATCGTCGAGGTGCGAAAGGGCTAAACACACAATGAGATGCTCAATTTCCCAACTTGGGTCAGGAAGGGCCAAAGACAGACATAACCGGCAGGTATAATGCGCACAAGGCTAACTCTGGTTGGCCTAAACGTCTAGACCAACGGACCCCAACGCCACACCCCACAGGAGAGGCCCGACTCGCAGCTACCTCACACTTCTGCAGCCAGCGCCACAGCCGGGACTTCTGGCTGGCTCGCATTTTGGCCTCCGCCTTCAGCATGTGGACGATGAGCTGGTGCTTGCTGTGCAGAGCCATGTCCAGGGGAGTTTCTCCCTGAGAAGAGTTCAGTTAGACTTTTGATATATTTGAGCTGTTTGATATTTTTCTCCAGAATCACAGATTAAGCACATTTATTCTCAAGGTAGCTAGTGATTATTGCTGGCATTTAACCTGTCCAATCAAAACAAATACATTCCTTTTTTATTTATTTTTTTTTGCAGTGCTTCACACATACTAAGCAAGTATTCTATGTAACTTTTTTTTTTTTTTTATGTGGTACTGGGGATTGAACTCAGGACCTTGCACTTGTCAGGCAAGTACATATTCTACTTAGCTATCTCCCCAGCCCTAAGCAAGTATTCTATCACTGAGCTACGCCCACATAGCTCAACTATATGCTGCATTATCGACCCCTTAATGTAAGATGGGACAAAATAGAGGAGATGCATTCCTGACACACCTTAACATTTCGGACATCCAAGCTAGAGCCAGCTTCCAGAAGTTTATCAACGGCATTCACATTTCCTGATGCAATCGCCCAGTGGAGGGGAGTGTTTTGGTGTATCTTATCCACAACATTGAGAGAAGGGTTAAACTTTAAAAGAAATCCAGTTGGTTCTGGCCTGTCTCAGAAAAAAAAAAAAAAAAAAGCAAGCAGCAGCAGCGTTAACAGGGATGAAGATTTGAGGAGTTAATACAAATAATGTTATCTTCTCACCAAATGTATCAATGGACCAATCAGTAAGTATCTCAAACAACTGAGGAATTTCTCTGTGAAGAATTCTACTCTAGGAACTAATGAGAGATTAAGAAAAAAAGATCTATTAATTGATAGTCTGCTATAAACATAACTTAAACATTAATACAAAAGACTAAGAAAAAACTTTCCTGTCACTGCTCTTGGCTAACGTTGTTTTAAATTGTGGACTTAACTTTGGATTACATTAAACATCACACTATTTATCCAAGTAACAATTAAATGTATAATGTTATATTTCCACTTAATATCCAAAAGCTGACTTTACATTCTTCCTTCAACAGATTATTAAATAAAGTAAATATAAATACAGGCTGAGTACCCTTTATCCAAAACATTTGGGACCAGAAAGGTTGCTGATTTTGGATTTTTTTTTTCTTTTTCAGAACATCTGCACATACGTAATGTGGTATCTTGGGTATAGGGCATGTCTAAACACGAAATCCATTTGCGATTCATATATACCTTATACATGCAGCCTCCAGGTCCACTTTTAATAATTTTGCACAAGAAAACTTGCAGGACCCTAAAACACCTGTACATATTAGAAAGTTATGGACTAGGGGACAGAATTTAATAAAATATGTTCTTTCCCTCTTACCTTTCCTCCTTTCATGACTAAAAGATTCTTTGAATAAAAACAAAATTCTATTTATTACTCTTCCAGAGCTTTAGAGCATATGCCTGACTTCAGAGCACCAAAGACAAACCGCTTTTCACAGAACTCTACCCTTAGTCCGCCGCTCCATGAGCAAAGGAAACAGTGTGAGAACGAACTCTGTCCCTTGACGTCACAGGGAACCAAAGGACGGCCGCTCACCATGAGGTAGAAATAAACCTCCAAAGCAAGAACTGCGCCTGCATTTGCACAGCTGAATACCAAGTACAGGACTACTTACTGACTCTCATTAAGTACATACGCTTAGACATTATGCAGAAAAATTTAAATACACGTCTCATATGAACACGTAAACTTTTCATAGCTCAGTTACAATTAATAGCTTTAGAGTAGTCAATAATGTCAGAAAATCTGAAAATGAATTATTTTTAGAAAACATTTACCATCTAGATTTCAACTTAAGAGGACATAGGAATTTAGGCTTGTAACCATCTTTTTAAAATGCAAAAGGAAAAATATCAGTCATGTTAATAAGGATAGGCTCAGGCATCTCTCCCTGTTCTGTAACGAAATGTTTTTTATTAGTATTAGGAACCAAAAACCCAATGAAGGCAATTCAACTAAACTCACCCGATTACTTTGTAAGCAGATAACATGAGCGGTGTCTGTCCATTTACATCCGTCATATTCACACTCTATTTAAAAGGAACCAAGCAACACAACTGTCAGCACCACAACCAAATCAAGTCTCTTTCTTAACAGAAATAGTTCTCAAGCACAGCCAATCTTGCCATTATTTATACACACAGGGTTTAAACATTACCTAAGTAACAAGTCTGCTTTGTTTTCATAGGGCAAAAATCTAAGGATGACTGCAAAATATTTCTCAAGGACAATGTGAATACATGATGTAAAGCATTATGTAGTTTAAACGAAGGACAGTGAGGTAAAAAGCAAGTCACTAGTGGCCACCACTATGTGCGACAGAGCTTCAAAACCATCTAATTTAAGGTGGTTTCCATAGTGTAGTGGTTATCATGTTCGCCTCACAAAATCATCTAGTTTGCACCCTAATTCACACGCTAACTCATGCTACTAATTGTTATGCACTCATCCAACCTCTACTGAAACAATTTCAGTAATGAATTCTTTAACTTCTTTTTTTAGAATTTTTACTTTATAAAAAAAAGGTAATAAATGAAAAAAAGAGACAAGAGAAAAGAAAAATGTCACAGGACTATCCTGCTACAATGCTGTATATGGTTAGATTTCTAAATTTCTGTGCAAAAAATGTCATTGTTTATTCATATTTTAAAAATATTTTTTATTTTTTAAATTTTTTGCTCCATATTCAGTAGAGATTTAAAGTTTAATATACCAATACTAGATGGAAAATTCAGGTTCCATGTTATGCCTAAGAGGTTTGATATTCAGACAGATAGTGAGGTTAAACCCAACTGTATACGTTGTAGGGTAATAATAAGCTTCTCTTCTGGAGGGTCAACAACCTAAGTTTGCAGAACAAAAATTAGAGAAAAAGGAGGGCCACAAGGAAAGTCAACATTTTGGCCCTAGCCTTCCAAGGGCAATTAAGACTCGGGACATATGAGAACCTGTACTGTAACATCATATAACTCAGTTGTGCCCCAAATTTTCTGATCAAGGAGATTCTGGGGCCAAAGAGCAACATGATCGATGACATAAGAGTGTGCCTACGGAGAGCCACATGGAGAGAAAACATTCTCTCAGGCTTTCAGAGAGCAAATTGGTCAAGCAATGCCCGTGACTCATCCACACTGCTGACAATGACAAAGGATCTACAAACTGTGGTACAGGGTTTCAGGATAAATCCTGAGGGTCCTTGACTGACCTTATCAGATACAAAAGTTACATTTCTTGTTATATAGTTCTTGATTTATCTTGGTCTTAACCATCCAGCAGAAAAGCATAAAAATGAGGTATAAAAAGTAAAGTCATATGAATATGCTGAGGTATAAAAGGCTCAAGTCAACAACTTCTGACACTGCCAGTCCTACGGATAACCCACTACTATTATGGACTACTGGACTATATTGGATTATTTTGCTGAATTCACACACCTACAATATTTAAATGACAATGGAATACCCATCTCTAACAAAACTAAACAAAAAAAGGGGATACAGAGGAAGGACCACTTTGTATCTGTATATTCAAAATAGGATGGATATACAGCTACTTTCTCTTAATTCGATGAGAAGAAAGATTTGTACTAATAGTATTTGGACAAGATATCATGTCTGCATCTTGTACTATTGATAACCACTAAGAAGATAACAATATGCAATGTATTAATTATTGAAACTGTCCTATTAATCAGTTTTAAAACTGTCTTATTGCTGTTTGTCAAAAAAATATTTATTTTATGAAAAAAGGTAAAACAAAATTTCATAACAGGAGAATAGCAATAGTTAATATATTATAGGCTGTTATCTTTATAAAGCAGCTTGCTGCTCAGGGTACAGGATATGGACATAAACATTTCTCCAATCGATACTAGAACAACCTTCCTTTTTAATGAACTAAGAAACACTAACAATAGAACTGACGCGCATTTTTCCTCCTCTCCTGTCCTCTCACCCAGCCTACTTCTGTCCATTTGGGCAGCTGCTTCCTATTTCACGATGTTCACTGTACACTTTTTATCTTATTTACTCTTTCAGTCTCTCACCCGAGGAGACAACACAATGTCGCGTGTGGGTCTGATCTATTTCACTTATGAGTACGGTCTCTAGTTGCATCCATTCATCTATAAAAGCCTTGAGTTTCGCTTTCTTTATAGCTGAGTATTATTCTATTGTATAAAAATACCACACCTTTTTTAATTCATTCCTCAGTTGATGGGCATCTGGGTTGTTTCCAAGATTTAGCTATTACAAACTGTTGCTATAAACAGGGGTGCACATATATCGCTATCGTATGATGCTTTCAGTTCTTCTTGGAAGATATCCAGAAGGGGAGTAGCTGGGTGGAATCAGACCTCTAATCCTAGTTTTGAGGGGGGAACCAGGGATTGAACCAGAACTTTGCGCTTGCCAGGGAAGCGCTTATTCTACTGAGCCATCTCCCCGGCCCTCTAATCCTAGTTTTTGGAGCAATCTTCACACTGATTTCCACACTGGTTGTACCAACAATGGAGGAGGTTCCTTTTTTTCCACAGCCTTGCCAGCATTTCTTATTGGTTGCTTTCTTGATGACAGCCATTTTTTCTGGGGTGAGATGGAATTCAGTGTTGTTTAATTTACATCTCTTGAATGAAAAATAATGCTGAACATTTTTTCATATATTTATTTACTGTTTGTATTACTTCATCTGAGAAGTGTATATTCATCTCAGATGCCCATTTTTGAATTGGATCTTTCAATGTAGGGGTTCTGATTTTTTTTAGTTCTTTATATGGTCTAGATAGAAGTCCTTTGTCTGAGGGAAAATTGGCTAAAATTTTTCCCCTCCTCTGTGGGTTATGTTTTCCCTGTGTTGGTTTCTTCTGATGTGCAAAAGCTTTAGTAAGATGAGATTCCAGTTGTTGATTCTTCAAAGCATTTTCTATGCAATCTGGGTTTTGTTCATGAACTCTCTACCTACACCTATGTCTTCAAGATTTCTTTTATTTATTTATTTATTTATATTTATTACATTTATTTATTGTATGTGTGTGTGGCCAGCTCAGCCCACCAGGGGGCGGGGCTGGATGGCATGTGGTGCTGGGGGATCAAACCGTGGTCCCTGTGCTTTGCCAAGCTTGTTTCAAGTAGGTGCTTTAGACCACTGAGCCATCTCTCCAGTCCGTCTTTAAGATTTCTTTGTCCTTTCTTCCAGTAGATTTAGTGTTTCTACACGAATATTTAGATCTTTAATCCACTATGATTTTAACATAGTGCATAGTGATAGACCTGGGTCTAATTTTAGTCTATGGCTTGTAGAGAGCCAGTGTACCAGCACCATTTATTAAAGAGGTTATCTTTTTTCCAATGCATATGTTTGGCCCCTTTGTCAAAGATAAGGTGGCTGAGTGTGTTTGTAGTTGTGTCTGCATCTTCCAATCTATTCCACTGGTCCTCAAATTTTGCCAGTACTATGCTGATTTTTATCACAGTAGCTTTGCACTATAATTTCAAGTCAGGAATTGTGATGCCTCCTGCCTTTTGTGTCTAGGATTGCCTTTGCTACTCTAGGTCTCTTCTGATTTGAGATAAATTTTAGGAGTGTTTTCTCTAGTTCTGTAGGGTATGCTAATGGTATTTTGATTGGGACTGCATTAAATCTGCATAACAATTTTGAGAGTATGACCATTTTCACTATGTTGTTTCTTCCTATCCATGATCAAGGGTATCTTTCCATTTTCTGGTATCTTCTTTGATCTCCTTTTTCAGACTACTGCAATTTTCAATATATAAATCCTTTCCTCCCTTTGTTAGATTGATTCCTAAGTATTTCATTTTTTTTGGAAACTACTGTGAAGAGTGTGGCTTCCCTAACTTCTCTCTCAGTGGGACTATCTTCTGGGGTTGCTTGCATTTTGGACTTAGTATATTAAGTGTCAAGTAATAAAACATGAAAAATTCTTTACTATTTTCTGGAATAAAGACAGAAGAGAAGATTTGAAATTGTCTCATTGCTGTTTATCAATAAAATTATGAAAAAAAAAAAAAAAAGAAGAGAAAACCATTTGTTCATAAGGATATGCTCCTTTACAAAGCAGATCTAGGTTTCGGGTGTCAAGGGTTCCAACCAAGCCAAAGAAAAAAGTTATAGTTACTGAAGATTCTTCAGATCCTTTGACGAAGAGAATTTGGGGAAAAGCCCAAGGAGAAGCAGAAAGGACTCCTCCTCAAACATCTTTCAGAAATGAAGCCCAGGAGCTTATAATTATTCTACTCCAGTTGGCTAAATCCAAGAGAACCTGATTATGTAAAGAGAGTGCAATCTTTCCAGTAGCTTTTGCACAAGTGTTTCCACACCTGCTTCGTGTCAATCTGCTAAGCCATGAACTACTCTGTCACCAGAAAGCACAATCAAGGCGAGCTCGGCTCAGTGAAACTCTGACTCCCAATAACCTGTAATTTAACCTCTGCCTCTCCAGGCAAGTCATATTCTGTGGAATGACTTTGAGACCAGTAAGAAGACATCCAGCCTGACTCACCATCCGTGCTCAAGAAATGAAAGCCAGTGAGTGGGTTAATTTAGTGATCATTACCCATTTCTACTTTCAAATGGAGGAAAAATACAGGCTTTAAAGTGATATTTTTACAAAAAAGAAAGAAGCTAAAAATTACCAGGCTCATGAGGCAAACTATGACAGGCATAAGTTTTAGAAACACTACTGCATGTTGCCTTGTCCTGTCCCTTTCCCTCCAGTGAAGCTGAAAACGCACATTTAATAGCCAGGCTCCATGAGGCTAATGTCTGAATACCTAAATGTTCATTAAGTTCAATTTTAAAAAGCAGGGCAGAGTACAACTAACAATCTTCCTAATCCCTTCCGCCTATATGGAGTATGAGAAACATTTCAACACATACCTGTCCCTTTGAGATGAGGTATGCTATAATAGGCATGCGCTGAAATAATACTGCCAGGTGAATGCTGCTGAATCCCTCCCCGTCAATGAGAGTGGGGTCCGCACCATGCTGGAGCAACAATATGACCATGGGCAAATGCCCCTGTCTGGAAACACAAGATAAATATTATGCTGTATCCCACACAAACAGAACCCGTGGAGAAGGACAGAAGAAACTCTGGGGAAAAACTGCTCTTCCTAAGACCTGAGAAGTTCTGGTTAGAAGCAATGAAGAGAAAGATTTTTAACACAGTAGGGATTTATGTGTCTGGCACATAAATAGACCTAGTGTCTATGTCTTGCACTAAGGTGTACCATACTCAAAGCTGTAGGCATGGGCCTTCTCAGGGGGAAGTAACAAAACTGAAAACCTCTCAGTCTAACTGAAGCCTTAGGTTGCCACCATGTGTAAATAGGACTTGTACATGACTAAGGCTACCAACAAAAAATTTTAAAACATCTTAGCCTTCACTTGCAATTTTGAAAACAAAAATAATCATTGGCCAGATACATATAGTATTTCTAGACTGTGGTAAACTGAGGTAATAACCATTCATTCTTTTGCTAGAATATAGTTCCTTTCACATACAGCTCCGTACTTCAGTAGCTTAAATGGGATAAGTATCCCAAGATTCCGCAGAACTCTTATTTATGCAGAAAAGAGTCAGCTCCCTGTCTTACATAAACAATTATACACTTCACTTTCAGGTTCATGTCAACCTCATCACCAGACAGCAGACTTAGAATAATAAAAGCTGTTAAATATCCATGCTCCTTCTGTTAGCTTCAGAAGGGCAACTGATAGGTTCTGGCCTAGTATGAATTGTTGAATCACCACGGTGGTCATCTATTATGGCTGAAGCCTTTAAAACAAAAGCCCATCTTCCCAGGACCACCTCCCCCTTCTTCTCCAACTCAGCCCAGGGTGCAGTTTCCTTTCACTCTTCCCCACGCCTCAGGGAAGGCCCAACCAGCTCCTCAGGTGTATCTAAACATCCCCCTCAAGCCCCACCCCTGGCGAAAGGCCATAAAACCCTCAGCCTCCCTTTGTTCCACTCCAGAGAATTCCTTATCTTCCCCGCATTCTCTCAGGCTCTTCCAAGATAATAAAGCCCCTTTCCTTTTTTCCTTCTGCCTGTTTCTCTGCTTTGCCGGGTGCCTAAAAAACCTATCAGGAACACGTAAGAGAAAAGAGGACACAGGCCAAGCAATATAAATGTCCTAAGAAGTCGGCCTACTCAAAATATCCTGTTAATCCTGTGTCAGTCTTCAAAAGTTGACTGATTCTCAAAAATACAGTGATACTCTTTAGAGAGAAATTTTCTCTTTAAAATATAACTACAGGGGCTAGGGAGATGGCTCAGTGGAATAAATGCTTCCCTGGCAAGCGCAAGGGCCTGAGTTCAATCCCTGGTTCCGCCAAATAAATAAATAAATAAAATATAACTACAACACTAGGAGGTAATTGAATGATACAATGAATGTTTAAAAAAAAACATTACAGTAAAAGACACATTGCCGAGAATGGTGAGGTAAGTGTAAGTTATCAAATGGGCATCTGTCATAAGACTGAACTGTCTTGAGTTTATAGTTCACTCAATAACTTATTTATTAACGTGCTCAAATACAGAAGGTGCTTATTCTATTTATTAAAAAAGTAGAATACTCATGTTTGAAACTGATACTCATAATGGAGTGCTGAATTAAAGAACAAAACATCCCATCTGGAAACTCTTTAGAATTAACTGATTTTTAAACAAAGGGGGGAAAAAAAACAAAAGAAGCCTTCCCAATTGCCTCTGATGGCGGTTTACAATACGGTGGCCTCCAACTGTACAGGGCGATTCAATTTCAGCACTTAGAAACCTTACCGGATGGCCCAGTGAAGAGGAGTTGAATTTAAATCTCCACCCAACTGATCTACGACAGCACCTTTCGAAATATAAAACCTGTTAAAATGGACACAAATGAAGAGGAGATTTAAAAACTAAAATTCAATTTGAGATAAAAAAAACTGTTTTTTCTTAGTAACAGATGTGTTAAAAAAAAATCCAGATGTGTTAGCAAACAGATCATAATAATCTTCTTCATAAAGGATTTATGAAGGTTTATAAAAGTCTCCAAAATTTACACAGCAGTATCAGACAAATCCCTGGTGAAACATTCTTAGTTTGTCAGTACTTATTCCTGCTGAAATTAGCAAGCCATTATAACTCTCATACCAAACACATAATAACCACTCTGCCAATTCTAACTACTGCAACACTAAGTTTACATTCAAAGGATTTAGGGTTACCCATATTCCACTTAACTCAAAAGGAGAATATAAAACTGTGTTACCTAAAACAACTCACATTATAATGACCAAGTGGAAACATTCCAAAAGTGATACAAAAAATTCACTTAAAATCCGTTCATAAAAGTTAGAAATTTTAAGGGCCGGCCAAATAGCTCAGTGGATTAAAGTGCCTACAAGCAGGCGCAGTGGCCTGGGGTTCGATCCCTGGGCCTGCTGTGCAGGCCCCATCCCTGGGGCACCCTGAGCTGGCAATTGAGACTGAGCGTGATAGCACATGCCTGTAATCCCAGCTCTTGGGAGGCTGTAAACAGGAGGATCACTATGAGTCTGATCTAGTAGTGAGACCCTGAACACCCTGTAGACCCTTCCCAAAATGCAAAAACAAAAAAGTTAGAAATTTTAAATGTTGGGAGCACAGACAGAGCGCACTGCATAAGGTGGACCTATAATGTCCGCAATTCCTTTCTGTGGTCTAGCGGAGTTAATCCAGTTTCTCCACAGTGATGCGTCAAGTTCCACCCTACTCTGCCCCACCTGACATGCCGCAATTTGCCTGTGGGCATGACATGTACTAGAATATCATAAAACTTAGTCAACTTCCATTTTTTTAAGCCTCAAGGATTTTAAATATATAACCATAATACAAAATATGTACACACATACACATGCACATTTTCTATGTCAAAGTATAAAACAAAAAAACTAGCAGGCAATGGTGTTTCATGAAAAGGACATATTTTATATAATCTGATACTTGCCCACTTAAAAGTGTATTTACATACTGAACTGTTTTCTAAAAAAAATTTATTCCCTTTATTCCCTACATATCTATTCCTCTTGACTTTTAATGTAAAAGGTGTTCGGTGTTTTTTCTAAATTATATAAACTTTCTTCGAATTAAAATAAGTCTACACATATGTTGAGAAAGTCTGCTATGCAATGATTCACATTCCTGTCCTAATCTTTATCTTCATGATGGGGCCCTTTGGCTTCTTCTACTTTTTCTTTCTGGACCAGTAAGAATCATGATCTAAATGATCTCTAAGGTCCTCAACAACTCTCTGGTGGATGCACAGGCAGAAGATTTCGAGGGCTCATTAAAAACAGATGATTATAGGGGCCGGGGAGATGGCTCAGTAGAATAAGCGCTTGCCTGTCAAGCGCAAGGGCCTGAGTTCAATCCCCAGTTCTGCCCCAAAAAATAAAATAAAAATAAAACCAGATAAATACAGATACTTCAGTCCTCGGACCTGAAGGAGGGGTCCAGAATCATAACCACACAACTCGCACACGCCGCCCATCTTACTTCACAAGGTCCAGCCTGTTGTTGATCGCAGCCCAATGAAGAAGTGACACGTTTTCTTTGTCTGGTTGTCTGACATCATAGCCTGCCTCTATCAACTCTTTACATCGTTCAAAAATCCCATACCTCAAATAAAAAAAGAGAAAGGCAAAATTAAAACCATTGCAAATACAGAATCAATGTTTCTTCCTTTGACTATGTTGTAGTGATACAGTGAGAAGTTTACTGCACCGAGGGAGCAGGGAACAAAGAACACAGCCTAAAGAGAGGGCCCCTCGGAATCTCAGCAAGCTGGAGACAAGGTCGCAACAGATTCCTGGAGACAGCGCCCGCCCAGTCTATTCTTTGTTCCTTTACCTGGAAGGCACCAACTAGTGGCATGTAAACTAGCTGGTGAATGCCGGAAGGGTAGCAGTTTGTTTACACCAATTTAGTTATGCACATTCCTTAGCTGTTTGTGGTCCTCAGTAACCTCGAGAAGCTTCCCTGGCTCCAGGCTAAGAGAGACTGAGACCCGTGAGACCGTGAGACTCTGAGACCCCTGAGACCCTGGGACCCGTGAGGCCCGGGGCCGATTTCAAACAGCCTTGCTCTCGTTCCTTTCGCGGCACCAATCATTCCACACCACTATGTATCTTCTTCATCCGAACTATCTTTTTGACAGTATAAAATACAATACAGTCTCTCAGTAGCCACAGGAGGTTGGTTTCTAGCTCCCTCGTGAGTATCTACCATGGGCTTTTAAGGTTCTTTATATAAAATGTAGTATTTATAAAACTATGCACACCTTCTCTGGATTACTCATAATGCCTAATACACTGTAAATGCTATATGAACAGCTGTTATACTTATTGTTTAGGAAATAACAGCAAGAAAATAAGTCTACACATATTCAATACAGGCACAATTTTTCTCCCAGGATATTTTAAATCCAAGGCTGGTTGGAACTGTGGTTGGTTAAACCTGAGACGTAGACCCATAAATACACAGGGTCGACTATAATTAACAAAGACATGTACAAAGGAGACATAATGTAAAACCAAATAACAGAAGCAAACTTTATTTATTGACCTGATCAGTCATTCAGAGTGGAACTTAATTTTCTTGAACTAACACATTTGCTAACACATATGCCTTTCACTTAATTTTCACTTGGCTGCCCCAAAACACGTGGTGCAGGCATCCACAACAACATTCCTGAGTGAAGCCAAGCAGGTGCAGTAACCTCACCCACCATGTGGGAAGAGACATCTGGAATGGGATAAACTACAAGCAAAATGCAGACAAGACACAGGTCCCTGAGGAAGGAACAAGGGGCCATCCCTGGAGATGAAGCATGATGTAGAAGCTATATTTTACAGGCTGACAGAAGAAGGGAAGGCCATCTGGCGAAGGAAGAAGAGCATCAGAAAAATCAGAGCTATGAAATACAAGGATGTGAGAGAAACAGAATTTAGCAAGCTGAAGACAGGAAAGGTGGATAAACACCGTGAGGGCCTGCAGGCCCTGCCGTGAAGTTCACGCATGGTTCAATGGGAAGGGCCTAAAAGAAGAAAGAGTTTTAGGAGAGGTTGTATTGGTGGCAGAACACAAGCCGCTTACAACAGGATGGGAACAGAAGGCGAGACCAGCTCAGAGACTGCTGCAGTGGACTCGGGTGAGAAGCAGCGAGAGCTCACAGTAGGAGATGGAGCACCAGAGTAGGGAGGGAGGGGCAGACCTGAGACACAGCGAGCTAACCGAGCTAACCAACTGCTAAGAGGAAGACCGAGCTAACCAACTGCTAAGAGGAAGAAATATTTTTTAATACCTTAGCATTTTTTTAAAATATCCTCAATGGGGGCCGGGGAGACGGCTCAGTGGATTAAGCGCTTCCCTGGCAAGCGCAAGGGCCTGAGTTCAATCCCTGGTTCCGCCCAATGTTGTAACTCAAAAATGAGGCAGGCTCCAAAAGTAAAATGTCCTCAATGGTAACATTTCAATAGTAACCTTGTTCCAATAGATCTTTTAACAGTTTCTTTGCAACTTTATTTCTATCTAGAAAGACCTGAAAGTTTCAACAGGCCCACAAGGGTCAAAAATCAAACCAAATGGCTAAACTGCCTGCCATATCACACTGTCAAATTAGAGTAACTTGTGCTTATCAATGGGTGTGTGTGTGTTGTGTGTGTGTGTGTGTGTGTTTATGACTGTGGCACCTTTTTTTTAAAGGCAGAGATACCCGTCTGACAATATTAAACAAAAATATTGATAAGAATATATTCTTGATGACACAAGACATATTTGTATTCTGCATCTCTTGCACGTCAAATTTAACACATTTTAGAAAAGAAACACTCCCTTTTTGTGAGAAACATAAAAGTATACATTAATTAGGATTTCTGTGGTTTAAAAAGTATACACACAGATCCTAGCTCTCCTGTCCTTGACAACCACCACTGCAGGTCTAAGATCCAAAGAAAATTTTTGTGATGTGAGTTTTGACTGAAATTCTTTGCAAACGCAAACTAATTTCTCACATCTATCTTTACATATTTTTACTGACACCAGAAGCACTGAAGCATTTCCATTCTAACTGAAGCAAGTATTGACCCAAGAACACTCTTGTCATCGTACAACAACAAAAACGCTATCAAATGTTCACCCAAAGTAGTGGTTCCCAGTGCCTTTAAAGTTTATATAAACTGCTAATTAGAGCACTCCGATAACTGTCAATATATTTTTTAACCTACATAAATGTTCTCAGTTTTTAAGCAAAAAGACTATTAAATCCTCAAGCACCTCTGCTTCGGATGGAAACCGTATCAAATCATCAGAGCAGTGCTAAGCCATTTCATGTTGATTAAACGGGCATGAACATTTGGTGGGAAACTGGATGGGCAAATTTACACTCAGTTACCAAAAAGGATTTCTACTTGCTTCTTGGTCTGACATTTCAAAATATGTTTAACAGCAAGAGGTGAAGCAGCTGCCGACAACAAGATGTGCAAATGTTGTAAGAAACTGACTTAATGCAAAACTCACCTTATGGCAACGGGAAGGACAAACTATAAAGGTATTTTGATTTTTCAGTACAAGCCAAACAAACCGAGTCTGTATTTCAAGTGGTCAAAGAACACAGTTCCACCTATGACCTTCCTTCCAGAATACCCAGCGTAGCAAAGACAGAGGAAGAACTCAATAAATAATTATCTAAAAATCCACAAATATGTGAGCTGCTATTTTTCTATCTCATCAATATATTTGTTCTACATTTTAAATTAAAATTTGGAGTTTAGTTTCAGTGTCATTCTAAATCATTTATTCACTCAACAAATACTTAATGGGCATATAATGGAAGAAAGTAACTGCAAAAGTCCTGGTGCTGCAAAGACAATGAAAATTAAGCTTTTGCTAAGAAGTGGCCCACACTCCAATGGGACAACCCGCCACATAAAACAGCTCGGGTCCACTGTGCCACAGGAGGTATACTGATGCTCATTTTCTTGAAATACCAATAAGAGGTGAGCAACGTGCCATAAATCTCACACATATTCTTGTAAATCATCAGAAAATCAGAATAAAACAAAGCATTCAGAAGACTTACTGGGTGGCTTTGACAATGTCACAGTTACTAGAGTCCTCTATGAGAGGAAGAACTTCTCTGGCCTTGGCAAGCTCTTTGTTTTCATGGGTGCAGATGCCATGCCGACCAAATCCTGGAGGCGGGGGGCCGTGGCTGTGGTTCCTGCACTAAAGAGCGAGAATACATTAATGAAGCACAGGAGAGAATTAAGGTCACTCAATGACATCATGAAGCTTTGCCACTATCAACCAATACTATCTATAGCAATATTTTCCTTATCTCCTGATCATCAGAAAAGATAACATTAGAAAAATCCAAATTACATACTTTGTCAAAAAACACAGATTATCTAAACACACAAGTGAACTCTGTTACTTGCAGTGGGTTGAATGAAGAGCATCAACCCTGTAAGATGACTGCTCTGCCCCCTTCTCAGAAGGCTGCAATGGACACATTCTAATATCCACCTCCTGGGCTGAGGAGATAGCTTAGCAGTCAAAGTGCCTGCCTGGAAAGTGCAAGGACCCAGGTTCAATCCCTAGTACCACAGGCTTTGCCAGCCCCAGAACCCTAGGTGCACAGTGCCAGTCCCAAAACCAGGCATGGTGGTGCATGCACAGCTGGGCGGAGGCTGAGATAGGAGGATCACTATGAGTTTGAACTGAGTAGTAAGACCCTGTATCCAATAAATAAATAAAATGAAAATAAACAGAAAAGACCATCCACCTCCCAAGCCTTTGTTTTATCCGTTCCCTTGAGTATAGGCACTGATGTCCCGCCTTAGCCAGTGACAAGCTGCTAGTCTATCACTTGCTTCTAGACAATGGGATAGTGACGGGAAGTCACTTTGATGGACAGAGGGTCTCAGCAGAACCTTTGGCTGGTCTTGAAAAAGTAAGCTGCTGTGATTCGAGGGTCAGGTGGCAAGAGCTGTGTGGCCTCTGGGCATGAAAGGCCCCAGGCCACAGGAAAAGGAGAGCCTCATCATCCATCCACAAGGAGGAGCGGACTCCTGCCAGTAGCCCCATGAGCCTGGAAGAAGACTGTGCCCCAAATGAGTCACGGCTCAGCCTGGACGTCAGCCTGCAAGACAGGAGGTAGTGGACCCAGCCAAGCGGTGCTCGGCCTCCGGACAGGTATCTACAGGATGACTGCTGCGTTAAGGTGGTAAAAGTGTGGTTATTTGTTACGCGGTAGTAGACATCTAACACAGGCACGACTGTAGGCTCTGAGCTTAAACGAATCCCTATCAAGACTGTTCCATCCACTCAATCAGCGTTACAGACAACTAGTTAGAAATGGACCAATGACAAGCTAAAATAATTTTCTTTAAACAAAGTCTTACATTTGTGGTTTCAAGATTATTTCTAGGGCTGGTGAGATGGCTCAGTGGTCTAAAGCACCTACTTAGAACAAGCTTAGCAAAGCACAGGGACCGTGGTTCAATCCCCCAACACCACATGCCAGCCAGCCGTGCCCCCTGGTAGGCTGAGCTGGCTGCCCCCCCACACACACATAAATAAATAAATAAAATTTTTTTAAAAAAGAATCATTAAAAAAAAAAGATTATTTCTAATCTCAAAAATTGAGCTTAGATTTTAGTAAAAAACCAATACAGAATTCCCTAAGATTAGTTGAAAAAAAAAACTCCACAAAGTCTTAGTTTAAGCTCAATTGTGGATTCAGGGTGCATTTTGGTTTGCCTTCTTATATGATGGAAGTTTGGGGTTCACCATCAGAACTATGTGAGTAAATATTTTATCTGTGAAAAGAGCTTTTCTCATTTTTAAAATTTCCCCGCGGTAGGGAAATGGAGGTACACTGCTGTAGAGATGCCATAGTGTTATTTTAAGACGTACTGTGGTAAGTTAAAACTATACTGTTAACCAAAGAGCAAATTGTTTCGTTTTTGTTTTTGAGACAGTGTCTTGCTAGTCATATAGTCCAGGCTGGCCCTGAATTCCAAATCTCATGTACCAGTCCCAGAAGTGCTGGGATTACAGGCGAGTGCTTCAACACACAGCTAACCCTCAAAATGATTTCTAAATAAATAGAACAAAAAGGTATCAAAAAGGTACGTAGGGGCCGGGGAGATGGCTCAGTGGAATAAGCGCTTCCCTGGCAAGCGCAAGGGCCTGAGTTCAATCCCCGGTTCCACACACACACAAAAAGGTATGTATAATGGCCAAAGTTAAAGGTAAAAGTCTTTTTTTGGCAGGCTCAGCCCGGTGCTGGGGATCATACCACAGTCCCTTGCACCTGCCTAAGCTTGCCTAAGCAGGTGATTTAGACTGCTGAGCTATCTCACCAGCTCAAAGGTTAAGATTTTTTTTTTACACATAATTAATACAAAAAAGGGCAAGAAAAGTAAAATACAAAGTACAGAAGAAAACAGCAAAATCATAAGCTATCCTCATACTAAACAGTACTGATAATGCCAAATGATCTTGATCTTAAAAATATCAGCGATTATTAAATTGGATTAAAAAACTAAAACACTACATAAAATGCTGTCTAGAGAAACTCAATTCAATTATAAAAACATACATGGTTTAAAAGTAAAAGAATGGAAAAGGACATACCACGAAGTAATACTAACCATCGTAAACCATGTGGCAACACAAAGCATAAAGAATGTCGTGGTATAGAAAATGAATGTAAAACAAAGCAGCCACCAGCACCGGAGCTGCTCCCAAGGCTGAAGAGGCACATTTCATCCTTTTTTTTGGCAAAACTGGGGATTGAACTCAGACCCTTGCACTTGCCAAGCAAGTGCTTATTCACTGAGCCATCTGCCCGGCCCCCAAAGAGGCATATTTCATAATATTAAGGAGACTGATTTACTACAACATAATGGTAAATGTACAGATACTGAAAAGGAGCTTTAAAATTCATGAAGCAAAAACCGAAGGAACAGAGAGGAGAAACAGAAACACTCACAAAAGGATAGCTGGAGATTTCAACCCTTTTCTAAATCCCCAAGTGTGAAAAAACAGAAAATCACACAAGTTAGGAAAGAGCTGAGTGATCCAAAAAGGACAGGGCGGAGCGCTACCCACCCACTCAGCCCACTGTCAGGGTCCTCAGCCTGCAGGTGCCTCATGGTGGTCCTGGGCTGCATATCCCCCACAGATCAGGAGGATGAGCATCTTTTCAGATGCTTATTTGCCACCTGTGTACCTTCCTCCATGACATTTCCATCCAAGTCTTTACACATCTTTCAACTGCTTGCTTTTTTCTTTTTTTTTCTTTTTTTTTTCCTGGCGGAACCAGGGATTGAACTGAGGCCCTTGCACTTGCCAGGGAAGCACTGATTCCACTGAGCCATCTCCCCGGCCCAACTGCTTGCTTTCTAATGCTTACGGTTTGAGAGTTCCTTATATTGTATGTTCCAGATGAGTCACATGTAAAACATGGTTAACATACATTTTCTCCACTTTCTTTTTCTATTTTTATTTTTAAAAATTTTAAAAATCTTTTATGTATTTATTTATTTGGTACATTGTCTCACTACACAGCTCTGACTCCAGTGATGCTCCTGTCTCACCATCCCCAGTGCTGAGATTACAGGTATGTGCCACCACACTGGGTTACGGTGGCTAGCACAGCATGCCTGAGGTTCCAGGGCTGACATGGCATTCAGTGCCAGGGATCAAACCCGTGTCCTTGTGCTTGCCAGGCAGGTGCTTAGACCATGGAGGTATCTCCCCACTCCGTGAAGTCCAATTTATCAATATGTTCTTTTACAGATGGGCTGTGCTTTGGTATTCCTTCCAAGAACTCCTCTCCAGGGATCAGATCCTCTTCAGAGGGCACACTCAGAGTATATTGCTGCACTGCCCCAGGCCCCTGCCCTGCTCCTTAGATGAGCTTGCTGGCTTCTCGGGGAGCTCTGTCTGTACTGGTGCCCACTGCCAGGGCTCAACACAGCACAGTGGGCAGACCAGAGAGGGGAAAAATGTCAATGAGACACTGGTTTAGAAGTTTTCAAATTCTGACTTTCAGTCTAAGTGCCACTGTTCACTTGGGAATCCTTAAAGGGCTGCTGAGTCTGCTGTGTGCCAGCTCCTCAGCAACATTCAGTGAGAGACTGCAGGGCCTGTGCTTCCTGCGCCCGACCCGAGGCCACGTCGCAGATGCTTTTTCTTTTTCTTTCTTTCTTTCCTTCCTTCCTTTTCTTTCTTTCTCTCTCTTTCATTCATGTATTTGGTACAGGGTCTCACTACACAGCTTAGTCTCGAAGTAATTCTCCTGTTTTCAGCATTCCCAGAGCTGGGATTACAGTCATGAGCCACCATGCCTGGTTTTGGTGGCCAGCCAGGCATGCCCAGGGGTGGGGTTGACACAGCATGTGGTGCCTGGGATCAAACCCTGGTCCCTGTGCTTGCTTAAGCAGGCACTTAGTCTGCTTAGCTATCTCGCCGGTCCTATAGATGTACTTTTGAATAGCCAAGATCTTATGTATCAGCAAACCATCAAACACACCACACATACAAGGATCACAGCTTCCAATAAATGTAAGCAAGAATATCATTTATGTTCTTTACATCTTATAGTAATATTCACATTCAACTGGTAGAAGACAAAAGGATAAAGGAAAAGACCTGAACTTAGCCTTTCTAGAGTGTAAACAATAAACAGAAACAAGTGCCTGCCTAATAGCTCAGTGGATTAAAGCGCCTGCAAGCAGGTACAAGGGCCACCATGATGGACCTGCCCCTGAGACAGCAACTGAGACTGGGCGTGGTGGCCCATACCTATAATCCCAGCTCTTGGGAGGCTGTAAACAGGTGGATCACTACAAGTCCTATCTAATAGTGAGGCCCTGAACCAAGATTGACAGTGAAATCAGATTTTTAAGACAAAATGCAACTGCTTTCTTGTAATTTTAAAATTATAAAATGATACACATTAAATTTTAAAGATTTAGTAAAACAGAAGTTAATAAAGGTTTAATACTTAGGACTCTTTCCACCCAATATTGTACTATTAGAGACACTCATTATTAAGTTTGATATAACTTTTTTATTTATATCCATATCTAGGTTTGCTCTTCTACAGATAGATTGTGGATTATAGATAAAAATTGATGTATCTACACAGATAAATACGTTATACTGTATGCACACATACAGGTTTTTAAAAATCACCTTCTTCCTGTATTTAG